AAATTGGAAAATAGATACTTGCTGTATTTTTAGCAACCAGCCAGAAGACATCAAAGCTATGTGCTGCACAATAGTATTACCTGCAGCTCAACAGTTTCTTAACTTTGTTTTAAATTAAAGCAATTTTTTCAATTCAGTGAGAAGATTGCATAAACACAAGGCCATTTCAGGCTGAAGACCTAGGAAAGAAATTTCTACTCTTCAGACAATGAAATGCTTTAATCATTGCACCTTCCGCTCACCCGCAAATCTTACTTAGCTAGATAGTCCTCGTTTACTGTTGGTAATTAGGACTAGGAGCTCCATCACTAAACAACACAGTTGTAAGATGTGATGTTACATGACTGCACCAACTTACTGCAGCAGTTCCTATAGCCCCAGTTGCTGTCAGTAGGTAAATCTGTAATATGTATTGGTAGTCACCACACTGCTTCTTCTCCATTAACTGTTTAGGGCATTAAAACTGCTTTAAAGATTCCTAGAAATGTTTGAATTTGAGAACTAAAGCCTGAATTGTTATGTATGGATTTTGTCATATTATGAGAAGTTACTCACAGCTGCAATCTTTTACTCTCACAACACTGAACACTGAAGTATTTTTGTACTTCAGAAACTTCAGATACTTTTAATGTATTGTTTGAGAATGAGATATTTTTCATTCCCATAGGTTATTCACAAAGAATTGTTTTTTAAAATTATCATTTGCTACTCTATAATGATATAAACACAACATCCACTTAGTTTGGCACAAAACTGAATTCCATCACATTTAGGGCTCTGTATAGATTTCTGAGTAACAAGTTGTTTTTATTCTTACTCTTAACACTAGTCTGGATACAACATGATAACTGAACCAATGTAATTGGACTGGAATCACACATCTGCAAACAAGCAGATCAGAACCTGGATGTTGATATCTATTGATGAGAACAGCAAAGCTGTAAGTGCTGGGTGACAAAAAAAGTCTTCTAACACTTGTTCCCAATTCCCTAAGTAGTAACAAGAAAGGTAATATCTTGCTGTATTTTAAGGGACCAGCAAAATGCTATGGATATAGTATACTTGGACCTTAGTAAGGCATTTGACAAACGAGATCACAACCTACTTCTTGGTAAGATAGAACAATGTGGGATAGACCACATCACCACCAGATGGATTTAAATTGGCTGACCAATTGCATCCAGCATGTATTCTTCAATGGAACTACATCTACATGGGGGGAATCATGTAGTGGGATACCTCAAGGTTCGGTTCTGGGCCCGTTGTTCTTCAACAACTTTATAAATGATTTAAATGAAGGGATAGAAGGGGCTCATCAAATGTGCAGGTGATACCCCCTGAAGGGAATTGCTAACTCTTTCTTTCTTTCTTTCTTTCTTTCTTTCTTTCTTTCTTTCTTTCTTTCTTTCTTTCTTTCTTTCTTTCTTTCTTTCTTTCTTTCTTTCTGTTAGTATTCCATCTTAATATTTTTATAAATAACTTCAAGTCACAAACATATCAAACACATCATCCTCTCCTTATTTTCCTTATAACAACAACCCTATGAAGTGAGTTGGGCTGAGGGAGAGTGACTGGCTCAAGGTCACCCAACTAGCTTTCATGGCTAAGGCGGGACTAACCTAATGTCTTAACCACTAGAACATATTGGCTCTTAGAAGATAGGCTTGAGATCCAGAAGGATCTTGATAGACTTGGACACTGGGCGCTATCTAATAAAATGCTATTCAGTGAGAAAAAGCAAAATCCTCACTTAGGCAAGGAAAACCAAGTGATACAGAATAGGTAATATCTGGCTCAACATTTGTAATTTTGAGAGATAGTGGATCACCACTTAAGTATGAACCAGTAATGTGCTGCAGCTGCCAAAAGGCCAATGCAATCCTGGGCTGCATCAAACTGGGGGAGTACCAAACTCATGAGCAATAGTACCATTTTATATTGCACTAGTAAGTCCTCCCTTGGAATACTGCATCCAGTTTTGGTCACTACAATATAAAAAGATGTTGAGACCATAGAATTGTGCAAAGAGCAACAAAGATGATAAAGGGTCTGGAGGCTAAATTGTATGATGAACAATTGATGGAAGAAGGTATGTCTGACCTATCAAAGAGAAGAATTAGGGGGACATGAAACTATCTTCCAGTACTTGAAAGGATATTATAGAGAAGAGGGAATTGACTTATGGTCCAAAACACCAGAGGGTAGGATAAGAAGTAATGGTGAAAGCATGTTTATGAGAGATGCAACCTAGAACTAAGAAGAAATTTCCTGACAGTGAAAATAATTAAATAATTAATATAACCCCCCACGAAATACGATCCTGAACAACCCTCCACGAACTATGAGCAGCCATCTGAGATCCGATGAATGGCAACGGGGGAATTCCCCAACGAAGGGAATAGG